GAAGAAGAAATCAGAAAAGTGGAACAACTGCAACGGCCTCGAGAACACATCTCGTCGAAATGTCATTGTTTCCGGAAGTATTATCCTCTCGAAACGATACGATCTGAAAACTCACAATTTCAAATGGCACGAAGAGGGCTTTAATCGCGAAAATGTATTATTTCCAAATCCAAGATATGCTCTCTTTGATATTTTTGTTCATACTTTTCCGAATATTATTCTACAATATTTCAGGATTTACAATATATCAGGATTTCATATACCGTCGCATATTTTGAGAAATGTTTCTATGTTACGATTACATTTTGTAAAATAATGAATAGATAACATTTTATATTCCTATTTTCAATTTCAAAAGTTTAAAGTTGTTAACATTTATATTCTGACATTTATACCTACGCGTGGAATGTCTATTTAAAATGTACTAAACAAATTCTGTGAAGCAATTTACTGTACTATTAATTACTTTTACATTTTTATATCATCACTTTTTCTCTTATTTATTTTTCTTTAAATATATTATTGTAATATGTATCTATTTTAAATCCACATTTTACACGGAAAGAATGATTTTAAAGAAAAATGTAAAATTTTACCGAATATGGAAAGTTAATTCTATTGAAAACTTAAACGATTGCTGAAATATCAATATTTTTGCAGCAGAATTTTTCCAACATAATTATTTTTGATGGTCCGATACAATTATTTTCAAATTTGTATCCAACAAAATTTTAGAGTTCTCAGCAAAATTTCGTTTTTTCCGTAAAATTTTATCACATTATTGTCTATTTTTTATTAGGCATTTTCGTGTGTTTATATTTATTTTCAAATATATTACATAAAGTGGAATGTTTTCAACATTTAATCAATTTATCTATCAGAGAATAAAAAATTTCGTTCGAACAATCTTGATGTAATAAACTATCGCGACGATAATAGAATCGAGAAGGGGTTTATCGCAAATTTACCAACAACAGTGCACATGTGCCCACATTTAGGAACATCGTCTATGTTTAAAGGCACTAAACCGTAACGCGTGGGCAAATCTGCGACGTTATTTAAATTTTCAATCTTGTGCGGAATGAACTTCATGTTACAAAGATATATTAAAATTGTTTTAAGACTTCGCAATTATCATTATTATGAAAAACCTTGTTAATTCAGAATCATCGTAGAAATAAATTAAAAAAAACATAAGATTGTTAAAAATATTTTATAAGTTGAATTAATTATTTGTCACACACACATACATAGATAAAAAATTAATTGTATTAAAGTTTATTATTATTTGTATTAATTGTATTCATATTACTTTATATATCAAAGAAGAATCCTTTTATTTGCGACTGTTTCAATCCGGTAATCTTGCTATTTAATTTAAGCGAAAATTGCTAAAACAAAAACAACAAAATAAGTTTAAATTGAGAATAATTTGTGCTTTGGGAAAACGTGATTAAAAGTACGAATGAAATTAAAGTAGTGCTAGTTTGTTTGATAATGTAGATCCAATGTGGTATTTCGCTAAAAATCCAATACGAAAATACGATAATATTTTAAACAGCGTACTGAGTTTATTTGTTTTCTAATGCAATCAATCGAGATAATTTTATCGATTCCAGTTCTCAATATTAGAGATTATAAAAGTGCACTATTATAAAACGAAACCATCGCAAAGCGCCTAATCTAATTTACTTGGCAAAGTTAATTTACGGTTTTACCGTATACCTATGTGCTTCATATGCATGAAACAGGTATTTATATAACTCACGTGCAAAAAGATTGGGATATCGTTGGCTAATTATAAATAGAGTCAATGGGTTCGCGAACCGTACGATCGTATCGTGCCTAAGATTAATAACATGCAAGTTAGTTATTTAATGTATATTAGCAGTCCATTGCAATACGATAAAATTAAGTATTTTGGTACGTCGTGCAAAACAATATTTCTGATAGCAACTGCGTTAGAAATATTTATTTGTATATTGAAAGAACAATTTGACTGAAGTATTAAAAAATTTAGAAATAAATACAGATGTGAAAATAACTTTCTTGGATTATTAAAATAATTATGTAGGAAACTCAACCATGATGAGCAAATAAGTTTTAACATTCTAGCAACCAATTTAAATGTTCTACATAACTATTTTAATAGTCCAACAAAATTTATTTTAAATCTATTCTAGCTGAATTTTTACTGCAGCAAAACCGTTATTTCCATGTATTTATCGATCAAAAATTAGACGAAATCTGAGAAAACTCTATTTTATTCATAATTTCATCATTTTTACCAGACTATCGAAATTTGATTATAAACGAACGAGATATTTGACACTTCAGGTCATGTTAATAAGCACGGAAAGAACGATTTTGCTGAAGTATTTAAAAATTTCAGCAGATACAAACCCAAGAATAATTTTGTTGAACTATTAAAATAATTATATAAGAAATTCGAACATGATGGACAATACTGCAAAAAGTTTTGACATTTTAGCAACCAGCTCGAGCATTCTACATAATTATTTTAATAATTCCAATAAAATTACTTTCTCATCTACATACATCTAGCTAAATTTTTAAATACTTCAAGCAAACCGATCTTTTCATGCACACAGCCACTTATTATTCATGATTATATAAGAATAAATTTTCAAAGTTATACTTCAAGTATATTAAAATTCTACTATTGCTCAAAGATTGCGACGATCAGTCGGCTCCATTTCGCACGATTCGTTCTCCTCAGACTTTTATTATATGGTAGCCAATTTTACATGAAGTTAATTGAGTTTGTAAACGCTCGCAGTGGGGCGATCCATAAGATATTCAGCGCGCGAATGTGTTTCATATCGTCCCGCCGGCAATTTCATTGGCGTGCTTAATAAACGGCGGTTCATCCTCGGACGTTAGCCTTGCAAATAGTTCAGATCGTAGCATCCTTCGTGATGCAGTAGGCACGGATATGTATTGACATGCGATGAATCATTAATGCCGACTCGTGCCGAGCGCGCATTTATGCCCGAGGTGCGTTTTCAATTAGGCCATCGATAAAATCGCGCAACCTGTTATCCTCACGAGCGTCATACGCGATAGAGAAAAACCTTAGCCGCGAGATGTGCGCGTAATAAATTAATATTTGCGGTGAAGGCATCGATCGTACTCGCATAGGCGGCTCGCCTGGTGATCGCGGAATTGCACTCGGACATAATATTTATTAAATGTAGCAATAGAATTTGCATCTCGCGTGAGTATAACTTGAATACGATGATGTAATTGAATTCTTGAGCAACGCCCGCAGCTATCTCCGACCGCATATTCTTTTGAACATGAAGATATACGCGCGCATTATAATTAAGAAAAGTCATGCTTAATTCAATAAACAAAGAAATATGATAAATTTAATAATATTTGAAGAGAAAAGATATTAAAGTAACGACTTATCAGCATTAGTATGATATATTAATTAATTAAAATTTATTAATTAAAAATACTTTAAGATTTTTATATTAATTAAAATACATTAATTACTTTCCATTAGAAAAGTTAGTGTTAATCAGTATTTTGAAATATAACATTATTTTTGCATAATTCTTATCTCTGAATTTAATACAGCAATTCAAGAAACGTATGATTGATCAGAGATGTCATAATAATATTCGAATGATTTTACTAAATATTATAAAATGTTTAATAATATGGAATTTGTGTGCGGAAGCGTAAAATTCATATAAAATTTCAGTTATCCATAACAAGGAATAATTAAAATATTTGCAATAACTCGACCTCTCATTTGTTACATGCACATGAAAGAAAACAAAATTACACCCTTTATTTATTGTTTATAATATGTATATTTTCGTTATGAAATATTAAAATCTGCAGACAATTTCATAATTGATATATCACGTAGTTTCATTAAAGTTTTATATCACTCTGAATTACTTCATAAATTACTGAGAAATTGTCTTTCTCTGGTATTTCATTTTCATATATATTTGGACTTACTGATTTGTTGAGCTCGTGATGTATCATGAGCAAATGTAATTTATCAATATATCGAAACAAAAAAAGAAATTGTATATCTATTACAATATGCACAGATGCGTAACCCAATCACAATTTTATGTACTTTTATCATGATATACCTGGGCAAAGAGAGAAAAAAAGGGCAACACATCTTGACTGCGATATGGTACCCAGCTATAACTGTGAAAAGTTATGTTTGACCTTATCGGCTTACATAAAAAGTTCGTAATTTAGGTAAATGACAATCGATAGCTGTTCCAAGGCACGTGCTAACATAAGTGCACGCTCTGACAAATAGTAACGTAACATATTATATGGAAAATGTATAACGTATGAACGTCAGAACGTTCGTGTTTGCAAGACCTTATCACATACCATACAGACGGCTTATGATTGACTTTCCTGACCTCCAAATCTACTAGTGCCTTCGGAAATACTTAAATTTTTATTCTGCTCGTTAAGTACTTATCATGATTATGTATATGAAGCAATAAGATTGCTTCTAAAGATAAGAAACGAGATGAGACATTAACGTTATAATCAATTCTATTTTACTTCATCCTTCTAACTTCAAAATAATATTGTAGAAACAGCAATATTCAAAAACATATTTTTGAAATAATTTATATACTGACATTATAGCAACTACACACGCAAATTATTTTAATTTAAATTGTTTGTAATTATGAAAATAGATTGTAAAACAAAAATTTCTTTATACAATGATATCAAGTTTTGATAATCAATTTTGAAATATATATGCATGTATGATCAATAATAAAAGAGGTGTTTTTATATACAAGAATGCAGGCCTTTAATTTTTGAATAATAGAAAAAGAGAACGATCACTTCCATATAATTGCAGACACAAAAAGCATATCAAAAGAATACTAAAGTTAACTCCCACAGGACATCGATCATGACATTTTCTGCTGAATTAACTGTTTCTATAAAATTTGATTTAAAGTTATGACTGTACGATGGTAGGTTTTCTAGAAAAGTTGCTCACCTTCGATATAACGAAATCTCGATGGAGAAGGATCCCTTTTGATGTCACCGAAGAAAATCCCGCGGGATACACGGGAAAATGTGAACGAAGAAAAATGAAAAGCGTTTCGAAATCGACCAGACTACCCGACGACAAACGTGGTTTTTCTCGATCGCGCACTCAATCACTACATATCCTTCCACCTGCGAATAAAGGTCAGTGATTCGTCCAGTTATCGGAAATTTTGCACCGCGTTACCTCGCATTATTCATGTTCTCTCATAAATTTTTTTCAGACATTCTCGCGAATGATGAAGATGTCTATAAGCGAATCGTGATAATCACAAGCACTTTCGTTTGTCTTTATCAAATATTTGCATTCATGTGCAACACAAACACGAATGATATAAGATCTACACAGCAAATTGCAGAAGCGAGATCTAAATTGTAGAAATAATTGTCTATAAGCGCTCATTATAATGATTGTAAAATAGAACCATATTTTTCCTGATAAAATTTTGTAATATATAATAGCCTCAAATACATTTTTACTTAAACATTAAATTCTTAAATATATTTTCGAAAATTATAAAAATTCTGCAATTATATAAAAAGAATAATTTTAATGCAACCAGTTTGACATCTTATATAATTATTTTGATAGTCCAACAAAATTATTTTTAAATTTGTACTTTGCTAAATTTTTAGATGCTACAGCAAAATCATCCTTTTCATACATAATAGATAAGAACACGCAAAAATAGGTTCAGAAAGAATTAAATATGTCTCAAATGTATATTAAATACATAAATAATCTTATAATTTCCTTAAAAATCAATTAATATGTGCACTATATACAATATCCAAAAAATAATTAGAAAAATAAAAAGTTAATAAAGAATTTTAAAGATATACTGTCACATTTAAATGCCAAAGCACAATCTTAAGAATTCATTGAAATAAAGTAAATGTCTTAAATCATTACATATGGACGCAACCACGATGTTATATATCTACAACGAGGTAAATGAGGTCAAAAAGAGGTAGGTCAGTAAATATGACCTCGGTCCAGTCTGACGTAAGGGACCATCGTGTGGCTAAGTTGATGCTTCAAGTTGACAAGTCCTACGTTTTGTTCAATTCGTCATATCTACTATAACTTAGCGTTCTACTAGTTCCATTTGTACAATTTAACACGTCGCAATAAGTCTCCAAACGTTGCAAATAACGTTAATAATAAAAGTTACAATTTTCAAATCGAAAGAAGATGCTATTTTTTTTATTTCCAAAAACGTGGAAAGTTAATAATAATTTTATTACAAAGAACATTCATAAAAAATGTGCACGGTTCATTATAAAAATTATTAATTTTGATTCGTAAACAAAATTTTACGATGAAACTCATATCGGAGCTTTCATGATATACGATCAATTAGTTGCACATGTGAAACATCACACATACTTGATGTAAATAATGAATATTTGAAAAAGTAAGAAGTTTTTATAAAAAAATCGATCGTGCAATAAAAAATGAATAGCATTTCGATCGTGCAGCCAGTTGCACGAGTAACACGTAAATTTTATTGCAGGATTATTCATTTTTTTTCATATTCGATATTATTTCATATAATAATCACAAACGTAAATTGTTATAAAACTTGTATTTTTAATGAAATATAAAAATAATATTTAAAAAATATTTCTTGAAAATTTAGTAATAAAGCACATTTAGTAAGAAAATCACTTGCATAAAAAAACACGTTCTGTAGATGAACCAAATCTTATTGTTGGAATTATCTCACAAATCATCAAAAAATATTTCCAGCTAAACACTAAAATCTTTCTTCTCTAATTTTGAAGAAAATTGTTAAATAGGTTTAATTATTAGACTTATTCGCAATAAAACTAATACAAATCATTATAAAGAGCGCAATCTATATCATTCTGCATCTGACATATAAAATTGAAATTTTTTTATTTCTGAAGTCCAAACGCACCGAAAGTGAAACACGATATTAATTGCGTTAAAGGATGAAGACGATGACGACGTTAAGAAATGATCGAAGATCAGGAAGATCGCGAGTGTAATGCGCGCGGGAAACGTTTACAGCACGATAGATCGCGATACACGCTCGATCAACGATTCCCGTTTTTACCGCGAGAACTCGCGGGATATTCGCCTCTACTTAAAATGCACACCGCACACGGATCCGGATACGAGACGCGTACCGTAACGCCTGATACGGAGGAAGCGCAGCCACTGAGCGCCGGGGGGTTGCCGCGCGGTAGGCGCCCTCGACACAGTCTGCTTCACTAGAACTAGTGACGATAGTGGGGTTGATCAGGGCTGATTCGTAACTTGCACGAGCCCTGCGTGGGCGAGAACTTTACAAATATATTGAGTTATAAGAAAAAAAAAATCAACTTTTTGTTTTTATTCGTTGCAACTTTAAATTAAATTTAATTCATTTTCATCATGAGAAAACATTATTGAGACATGTAATAAAAAAACTGTAACGCATAAAAATTCTGCACGGTAGTAAATTGAAATCAGTGAAATTCTCGGTGCCTGGTGTTAAAATTCATCACGAGATAGAAGTAAAGTTTGGTGAAATGTCTGAAGTATCGACGTGAATAAATATGCACCCATAAAACACTCGCCCCTACTGATTTGACGCTTGCGCTCCAAGCGCAATGAAATCAAGCATAATGAAATCTCATCGTACGGAGCCACTTGTCCAACTGTCACCTTTCACATCATAAACTTTCGTAACTTTATTCGAATACATTTGTCAAAATCCAACAAAGCACAACGTCATCGAGGAGAGTTCCGAGTTTTTACATTTGTGGGCCTGTTCGCGGGTGTGCATCAGCAGAAAATATGTTTAACATTTGCGTTGTTAAATGTTGAGTCGCAAAACTTTAACAAGCTGAAAATTGTTAGTTTCCTTTTTATAATGTAACAGATATACATAATTTAATAGATTTACTTTAACTGTTTTTAGTTTCAATTATTTTATAATTTTTAGAAATAAATTTTTATTATTTTTCTTAGACTCTTGTCAAAATAGATTTAATAATTAATAAAAATTTTGTATCAAATGTTGAAAAGAACGAATAATCATTGTGTTTTATGTGTGTGTGTGTGTGAGTGTCATAATATTAATTCTATATAATATTCTAATGATGTTAAGAATTAATAATATTTTATGATTTATTGTAATGTAAAAGGTGCTTTTATGATGTCAATTTTCAATGAAATTATATTAATTAATATAATTCATCAATTTGATGTAATTGAAATTACACCTCATTAGAATGTAAATCATATATTCTTATCATATATACATTAATACGAGAATATGCTCGTAGAATATGCTTCTGTTAAAAAGTATCGTTGCGTAAAAAGTGATAAGCGTAAAAAGGTAGCATTTTATGTCTCATACTTAATGTAGGTACTTTAAAATTTTGAAAATTTTCAAGAATAAAACTAAAGTGCAATCTATTGTCTCAATGAATTTCTATCTACGACTAATGAAAAAGCGTTGAATGAAAACGGGATAGAACAATATATCTCGACCGCGTGTAAAAGCCGAAAAGTTTTATTCTTTCAAACGCTGACGTCAATGCGCGTTTCTACCAAAACAAAAATCCGTCCACATGATATTTCATGACTACAGAGGTTCCACAGTGGTTTGAGATTAAAACTCAACTTCCTTTATCAATTTGACTAGCAGAGAAAAATCATTATAAACTTTTACACTTCATTGCGAGAGAAATGAATTTCCGATTTGAAATAATCGCTTCGTACAATGTTATTGTTTATCCGTAACTTTATTTCTATTTTTCTTCTCTCTAAAAAAGATAAAATCTGTTTTATAACTAATAATGGATAAATGAATAAGTCAAATTATTATTAAACGCTTCTAAATTTTTTTTTTTACATTGATGACTTAAGGTAATTTAGAATTTAAAAAACAAAAAATAAAGTATTGGGATCTTCAACATTAAAATATAAATAAAGTAAAATTACATTTGTTTTATAAAAATAAATCTAATGTAATAATTTTTAATAAATGCATAATAATGCGCATTACAAAGAAATTATTTAATATATAAAATTAGAGAAAATAATATTGCATTAATTCATACTATTAATTTTTTAACGTATTTTTTAATGAAATTTCCATCTAGTCCATATTTAAACGATATATGCTTCTTAAATAGGAACAATAATCCTACTCATTTTAATGTATGTAAACATAGCGTACATATGTATACAATTCTATAAATATAATATAAATTCTATAAATACAATAATTATACATATAAAAAAAGTCATGAACATCTATTTGCTGTAATTTATTTTTTCAATTAAAGCTACGTGTATTAGAAGATTGCTGTTGATCCACAATAGAAAATCTTTGATCCACAGTATATATAACTCGTGATCTATTTCAATATTGTCTACAAATGTGCACCGTGTAGCTTTGACGCGCACAGTGCATTCACTATAAAATTGCACCCATTGTACCATTGCACAATAAAAAGCAAAAGAAAAGGAGAAAAGCAAAAGCTGCATCACGTAATATGTTTTCAAGTTGCATTTATGGCAAAACCATTCGATTTAGAAAAATTTTAGAATAAATCGCAACTATAAATAAAATGTTATATTTTCTATACATATAATATTTAAATAACCTTTAATTATGTGTGATACATCGTGTGATACGTAAAATTACCACTTTAATGATGCGTGATGCATAAAATCGTTAAAAATTATTTAAATTCAAGAGAGGTACAAATTACTAATTTTAAAATTTCTCCTCGAAAACTACTTATTATGTAAAATAAAAGAATTTTATTTTATATTTTTAATTATTTCTTTATTATTAGAAATCACTTTCTTTTCAATTTTAACATTTTTAGATCTCCTTTAAAATAAAATTCTTTTTGTTAAGTTGAAGAAATGCTTATTCGATTTTATTTCTAGTTTACCCTGTAAAAATAATTTATTTATTAATTGTATGAATATTATATAGACTTCAAATTTTTTCGATTTATTCACGTAATATTTTTTTTCAAATATGTATAATCTTTTATAGATAAAAGTATTGTAGATGAATATAACACTTTCAATGTCTGTGAATATCACAGTTTTCTTGTCGGATTGCTGAATCGATGGTATTATACCTCTGTTAATAAGAGCGATTTAGTGAGCTGAATACTATAGTTGTTGAATGTTCATGTAGCGTCAACTGGATCAAGGTTGGATAATCCGAATGTTAAAGTTATAGGAAATATACGCATGAAGATATAGTATATAAGTTATAAACTGTTATAAAATAGAGCTTGCGCTTCGCGAGACATAGAAAATTACATATGCAATAATAAATGTGTTGACACGGTTTTTAGAGGCATGTAGTTTCCATATATATGTGCAGTCGAATG